ATATTATCTATACCTTCTAAAATTTCCAACGACATACTTGTATTTCCCATCTCATAAAGTCGTTAAAGGGAATATATTGCTGTAGTGTAAAATATTAGAATATTTAATAGAACCATTTATTTCCATTCAAACTACATAATTGCATAAAATATGCCAAATATGCTCTGTGCATATTTGCCCAAGTCTGATGATAACATATTGAAACTTGGAAGTAAATAGTATATAGAGAAAAGCGAAGTAAGAGAAGAATCGATGAAGTATTATAAAAAAAGCCGAATCCCATAATCAATTCATCATATCTCTTTTGTTTGATAAAATCTATCACAGTTACAGACGAAACTTCAAGAAAAAAATAATTCCTTGGGCATTTTCGAGTACTTAGTTGAATAATTTTGCTGATATCGTATCTCGTTGCCGGTACGCAGGCTACTTAAATACTCTCACTTTTGTTTCATTAGTTTCAAGATGCTGGTGCGTGATTTACCTATTTTATCTACAAATTTATCAATAATATACAAATTTTAGTTTTCTTCTTATAAAAAAAAACATTATTTATAAATTCGTAGAATATATCGATGATTCGGTAGCTTCGAGGTTATAAGGTCGTCTGTGTTCTCGTTGGACGTGTCAATCAATTACTTCAAAAGTCAATTACAGATATTGATACCGATTGGGTCAAGCATTGAACCGCTTATCGCGAATTTCTAGGATTTTTGTTTAGACGATTTGTTCAAAATGTTTTTTTTGCCGGGTTGTGATTTTTTTCAATTTTTGTAAAGAGAAAATATGCAAGATCTTTGGTGCAATAGCACTAAGAGTTTATCAGATATTCGCTTGCAGAATAATTATTACAAAACATGTTGAATCAAAGGAAACACGGAAAGATATAGCCCAATTAAAAAACATTAATATACATATGAAATCGTAGGCTTCCACGGCCAGAGTCAGAATTATAGTTTATTCGTCTTCCGGGTTTGGACCGTGTCATTTGTGAGTGACCCAAAAGTGGGTTCATCTCGACGTTTCGCTACAATTATATGTAGCTTCTTCAGGAGAAACAAAGAAAAAGAAAAACAAAAGAACAGGAAGATGGGTAGTTAGCAACGGTAACTCAGTTACTCAACGCAACCAGAGGCGAATACTAACTACCAAGATGGGCATTTGGTCACAGTAACTCAACTACTCAACGCAGCCAGAGGTGAAAACCAAATGCCAGGACAGGGATTCACGTCCAACAGCTCAGAACACTAACGCGTCGAGAGGCGGGGAGTGAATCCGACGATTACTCCGCTACCGCTCTATTTATAGTCGCGGTGCCTGTCGTGTCGGGACGTATCGGCACACTTCGTGGCGCGAACGTCAAGAAGCGCGCGCTGGCCAATCATGTGGTGGCGGGACCGGATGGTGGCTCTAGACTGAGATTCCAGATGGGAGACAAGTAGTGTCCTTCCTCTCGATTGATATTATGGGGATTTTTTCGGATCTCTAGAGATTCGCGGATTTTCCTGGAATAAAAGAAGGGGCTCTTAGAAATAATATGGGTTTTTTCGAACAATATGGAATGACCGGTTTCTTGGCAGTGTTCGGCAACTGCAGAATGGGAGAAAAGACCTGATCGAATGCATCTTTGATGCTCTTGAATCCGAGTTTTGACGGAACGACCAGTTTCGCCAATATACACATGTCCACATGAACAAGGAATAGAATAGACACCACAGGAAGATAGGGGCGGTAATGGGTCCTTAGGAGAGGGTAGATATTGTGAGATTTTCTTGGGTGGTCGAAAAGTAGTCCTGATACCTTCTTTGCGAAGAATTTTGCCAATCCTATCAGTGACATTTCGAATATACGGAAGAAAAGCCACAGGAGTATTACCCGAAGATTCTGAATTTGTTGTCCTAGGGTGTAAAGGGGGATGTAGATGTCGGTGTGTAATATTTTGAATTGTGGACTTGGAGTAACCATTGGCGACAAGGGTTTTTTGCAGATGGCCAAGTTCTTCTCTAAGGTTGTCGGGTTCAGAAATCGAAATGGCCCGATGGATGAGAGAGTTGATCACAGAATTCTTTTGGGCAGGATGGTGGTGTGATGAAGCATGTAGGTAACGATTCGTGTGAGTCTTTTTTCTATAAACCGAGTGACCCAATCGGCCATTGGGCTTGGAGGTGACTAACACATCGAGAAAGGGAAGGGACCGATTATTTTCTACTTCCATTGTGAATTTTATACTCGGATGTTGTGAGTTAAGATGATCTAGGAAGGAAGAAAGGGTATGTTGACCATGGGGCCAGATGATAAATGTATCATCAACGTAGCGGAACCAGACTTTTGGTTTTAAGGGGTAAGATTCTAGGGCTAAAGACTCAAAGGCTTCCATGAAAATGTCAGCAATGACAGGGGAAAGGGGAGAACCCATTGGTGTTCCAGATATTTGTTTGTAGAAATTGCCTCTAAAAGAAAAATATGTTGAAAGGAGGCATTTTTCGGCAAGATCTGCCAAAACCAAAGACTTGTTATCATTGGTCAAGTGATCTCGCAGAACAACTAGAGAGTCATGTATGGGAATATTGGTAAATAGGGATGATACATCGAAACTGACGAGAATATCTTGGGGATCGACTGTGAGAGAGGAGATTAAGGTGATGAAATGTGTGGAATTTCGGACATAAGAAGAGGTACGACCAGTATAGGTCTTAAACTGATTGGACAAGTACTGATTGGTCTTAAACGATTGGACAAGTACTTGTCCAATCAGTTTAAGACCTATACTGGTCGTACCTCTTCTTATGTCCGAAATTCCACACATTTCATCACCTTAATCTTCTCTCTCACAGTCGATCCCCAAGATATTCTCGTCAGTTTCGATGTATCATCCCTATTTACCAATATTCCCATACATGACTCTCTAGTTGTTCTGCGAGATCACTTGACCAATGATAACAAGTCTTTGGTTTTGGCAGATCTTGCCGAAAAATGCCTCCTTTCAACATATTTTTCTTTTAGAGGCAATTTCTACAAACAAATATCTGGAACACCAATGGGTTCTCCCCTTTCCCCTGTCATTGCTGACATTTTCATGGAAGCCTTTGAGTCTTTAGCCCTAGAATCTTACCCCTTAAAACCAAAAGTCTGGTTCCGCTACGTTGATGATACATTTATCATCTGGCCCATGGTCAACATACCCTTTCTTCCTTCCTAGATCATCTTAACTCACAACATCCGAGTATAAAATTCACAATGGAAGTAGAAAATAATCGGTCCCTTCCCTTTCTCGATGTGTTAGTCACCTCCAAGCCCAATGGCCGATTGGGTCACTCGGTTTATAGAAAAAAGACTCACACGAATCGTTACCTACATGCTTCATCACACCACCATCCTGCCCAAAAGAATTCTGTGATCAACTCTCTCATCCATCGGGCCATTTCGATTTCTGAACCCGACAACCTTAGAGAAGAACTTGGCCATCTGCAAAAAACCCTTGTCGCCAATGGTTACTCCAAGTCCACAATTCAAAATATTACACACCGACATCTACATCCCCCTTTACACCCTAGGACAACAAATTCAGAATCTTCGGGTAATACTCCTGTGGCTTTTCTTCCGTATATTCGAAATGTCACTGATAGGATTGGCAAAATTCTTCGCAAAGAAGGTATCAGGACTACTTTTCGACCACCCAAGAAAATCTCACAATATCTACCCTCTCCTAAGGACCCATTACCGCCCCTATCTTCCTGTGGTGTCTATTCTATTCCTTGTTCATGTGGACATGTGTATATTGGCGAAACTGGTCGTTCCGTCAAAACTCGGATTCAAGAGCATCAAAGATGCATTCGATCAGGTCTTTTCTCCCATTCTGCAGTTGCCGAACACTGCCAAGAAACCGGTCATTCCATATTGTTCGAAAAAACCCATATTATTTCTAAGAGCCCCTTCTTTTATTCCAGGAAAATCCGCGAATCTCTAGAGATCCGAAAAAATCCCCATAATATCAATCGAGAGGAAGGACACTACTTGTCTCCCATCTGGAATCTCAGTCTAGAGCCACCATCCGGTCCCGCCACCACATGATTGGCCAGCGCGCGCTTCTTGACGTTCGCGCCACGAAGTGTGCCGATACGTCCCGACACGACAGGCACCGCGACTATAAATAGAGCGGTAGCGGAGTAATCGTCGGATTCACTCCCCGCCTCTCGACGCGTTAGTGTTCTGAGCTGTTGGACGTGAATCCCTGTCCTGGCATTTGGTTTTCACCTCTGGCTGCGTTGAGTAGTTGAGTTACTGTGACCAAATGCCCATCTTGGTAGTTAGTATTCGCCTCTGGTTGCGTTGAGTAACTGAGTTACCGTTGCTAACTACCCATCTTCCTGTTCTTTTGTTTTCTTTTTCTTTGTTTCTCCTGAAGAAGCTACATATAATTGTAGCGAAACGTCGAGATGAACCCACTTTTGGGTCACTCACAAATGACACGGTCCAAACCCGGAAGACGAATAAAACTATAATTAATATACATATAATGATATTTAGGTTCCTTCCTAAATATTTAATAAATAAATTTTTGGATAATTGTGCTTTCTAATTATTTTTTATAAAATTTACAAAAATTGTTGCAAAAGTGTCAGTAGTTGACACAAAATGAAAAAAAAAATTGTCAATAATGTCATTTAATAAAACAGTCTGATGTCCATGTTGACAATACGCGAAACCGGCACTACCTACGAAAAAATCGCTGTAGATTAAGTCTTTCAGAAAAAAATTGTCTTAATTATAACTATTACAATATTTTACCAAAAAGTATTAAAAAGCTAAGCTGTAATAGTTTCGATAAAGTTATAAAAAAAATATCTTCTAAAACATTGTTTTTACTGTTCAGAAAAATATGTGACTCATTGCAGAACATCCACTGAACTGCTTACCGTAACTTGCCATAAATATTTTCCTAATTAATATGTGTTCTAGTTAAATAAATACTCCACTCTACTAATAATCATTTTTTCTAGGTAGACGATCTTATAAAAGTAAAATGTTTAGACAACCTGCGGTTAGCCACCATCGGCAGATACCTAACAACGGAAGATGATGACGAAGTGTTCGACATCGATGAAAACCGGCCCAGCATCCTCACCAACGGCTACACCATGCCCAATCAGTCCAACAACAAACCCAACGGTATGCCTCAAAGACTGGCTATCAGGAACGGACTGAGCACGTCCAGTGCCATAGATATATTCGAATTGCTGTCGGCGTACTCACCCAGGCCGGTCGTAAGGGAGGTTTTTAACTTCACAAGAAACGACGAACCCGCCGTTAGGGTGGCTTCTTGGAATCTGCACGAATTCGCCTACGAGAAAGCCGGGAATCTGGGTGTCAAGGAGGTCATTTGTAGGACGATTTTAGAGAACGGGTAAGTTATTTTTTTTATATTTTCAAACTTTAAACTAACAACTTTATCAGATGAACAACAAGGATTCAGATCCGGAAGATCCTGCGTAGATGCGTTATTTCTTCTTCTTCTTCTTCAAGTGCCGTCTTCGTTCCGAAAGTTTGGGTATCATCAAAGCTATGGCGTATTTTTGATGCTGCAGATCTAAACAGTTGGTAATTGGTGCAATTGTACCATTCTCTCAAGTTTTTCAACCATGAATGCCTTCTTCTTCCTATAGATCTCCTTTCCCACTATCGTTCCCTGTATAATCAATTGCAGCAACTGGTATTTATCTCCCCTCATAACATGTCCCAAATATTGTAGTTTGCGCTTTTTAACAGTAAGTATCAGCTCTTTCTCTTTCCGCACTCTCCGCAAAACCTCCACATTTGTTACTTTCTCTGTCCAGGGTATTCTTAATATTCTACGATACATCCACAACTCAAATGCTTCTATCTTTTTGGTATCGATCTTTTTCAATGTCCATGTTTCCATCCCGTAGAGGAGAACTGACATAACGTAACATCTCAAAAGGCGAATTTTAAGTTTTAGACTTAGATCTCTTCCGCAGAACACCTTTTTCAATTTAGTAAATGTGGCTCTAGCTTTCTCTATTCTGGTTCTGATTTCTTCAGAGCAGTCATTATTTTCGTTGATAACAGTTCCCAGGTAATTATATCTTCTTACACGTTCGATTCTTTGATCATGCACGGTTATATCAGGGAAGTTTTGTGGTGATTTAGATATTAGCATTATTTTTGTTTTGCTTATGTTAAGTGATAATCCGTGTTCTTCACTGCATTCTACTATTTGTTAATTAGTATTGAAGATCTTCCCAAGTTTCTGCGATATGTACCGTGTCATCGGCATATCTCAAGTCGTATGCCGTATTTGTACTAAGACAAATCACAAAAAAGGTCATCGAGTACAATAAACCAACATATCAGGTTTTATAGATCTGACAAAGGCCTTCGATCGCATCCAAGTCGAAGACGTCTTACACTTACTGTATAAAAGAAACATACAATGAATAATATACAAACCTACTTACATAATCGAATACAGGCAAAGGTAAATGGAAAACTAACACGAATTTATACAAGTACAAAGCGGAGTCAGAGAGGGTGACTCGTTAAGCCCACTTCTCCTTAAATAATAATGGATGAAATAATAAAAGCAGTACGTAGCAGGAGTCCAAGCAGGAAACAGGAGTGAAACGAAGACATTAGTAGAATGGCAGAGGATAGGATAGTACGAATAGCACGAGATAAGTCACTAAATGGACGAAAAAGTATTGGCAGACCAAGAAAAGATGGTGCGACAATTTAAACAATTTAGGAGGCTAATATGAAAGAAGAAACAGGCTTTAAAGCCTGCATAAAAGAAGGAAGAAGAAGAAGAAATCTTAAAGTGAATATAGTCCATTCAGGCCGTGTAAATTAAGAAACGTGATCTATAATGGAGGTTCAAATGTGTTTTTTTGGTATTTTTGAAATACACTAACGCTGGAAAACATTTGATTTTAATTACTGAAAAACGCATGCAGCTTTTTCTTTCACAGGTCAAACGAACTCAAATTGTTTTTTTTTTAATACAAATTTTACCTTGGACACACATATAGAAATTGCACGGCACAAAATCCGGTAAATAAGGCGGACACTATATTTTGTCACTTAGACAATTATTTAACGTATCCACTAGATGAAGAACCAATGACTTGTACTTCCCCAGTTCCTCTTCTTCTTCAAGTTCCGCTTCTATCGGAGATTGGAAATCATTCTGGCAATTATAATTTTCTTGGTTACGCGCCTGAATAGTTCAATTGAACTGCATCCAAACCATTCACGGAGATTGCGTAGCAACGAGATTTTACGTCTTCCTATACTTCTTCTGCCTTTGATTTTACCCTGCATTATATTCCTTAGTGGTTCTTATTTTTCACCCCTCATGATGTGCCCCAAGTATTCCAATTTCCTGATTTTTATGGAATTTAAAACTTTGCATTGTTTTCCTAGTTATTCGAAAACTTGTTCGTTTGTTTTGCGATCCATCCATGATATTTTCATAATACGTAGGTAACACCATATTTCGAATGCTTCTAGGTTTTTAATGTTGTTTTTTTAAGTGTCCAAGTTTCAACCACATACAAAAGAGTAGAGAAAATATAACATCGAAGCATTCTTATCCGGATATTGATATCGCGATTACAAAAAAGTTTTTTCATTCTATTAAAAGTTGACCGTGCAATTTCAATACGGCATATTTCTTTTGTTTGATCAGTATCTTCTGTGATTCATGCTCCAAGGTATTTGTACAAAGATATTTGTTCAATTTCTGTATTATTTAGTACTAGCTTGATGTTTTGTGCTTTTGTAAATACCATGAACTTGGTTTTCTTCAAATTTATTTTTAGTCCATAATCGTTGCAATATATATTAGTTGTTCATCAAGGTGTTACAGTTCTTCTAGTGTTCCTGCCAGAAGGACGGTGTCGTCAGCATTTATGTTATTAAGTGGCTCACCGTTCATTATAAGGCCCTCATTGACCTCAGCAAGCGCTAATTCTGAGATGGCTTCACTGTATAAATTGAATAACAAGGGTGATAAAATACACCCTTGGCGTACCCCATGGCGAATCTGGATATCCTCGGTCAGTTCATTTTCAACTTTCACTTTTGCTGTTTGGTTCCAATAGAGGTTACATATAATTCTGATGTCTCTACTTTTATTTAATAAAATTTCTTTAAGCCATTATGCTGAATCTGTTAAATGACTTCTCAAAATCAATGAAACAGACATATACTTCCTGATTTATATCTAAGCATCTTTGCGAAAGAACACTTACTGCAGACATTGTTCTCTTGTTCCCAGTCCTTTCCTAAATCCCATTTGTGTATTACTTATACCTTCATCTAATTTCCTATGTATTCTATTGTGAATTACTTTTAAAAACAATTTCAAGACATGACTCATTAAGGCTATGGTGCGATGTTCATTGCACTCCTTTGCATTGGCTTTTTGGGAAGCAGTATAAATGTTGATTGGAGCCATTCTTTAGGTATTATACCTGTTCTATATATAGTACTGAATAGATCCAAAAGAAGATCAATAGATTTAGTATTCACAATTTTGAGTAATTCGATAGCAACTTCATCAGGCCCGGGAGATTTACCACCTTTATATCAGGCCCAGTATGATCCTTAAAAGAAAGTTTTTGGTTATTGATAAAAGTTTACATCCTAGATATTTCAAAAACATTAAAATACTGCTTGTAAACTATACAGCCAACAAAAAAGCGTAGATGACTTCTATTGACGACTTCTATTTTTGAAGAAGAATTGAGAACTTAGGACAAACAACTCTTCAAAAAAAAAAAAAAATTCTTCTCCTAGTTGACAACTGTGCAGCTTATCCCAAGCTTAATTTGACCAATATCAATCTAGTTTTCCTACCAGCGAACTGTCATGCAGCCTATGGACCAAGGAGTCATAAGAAGTTTAAAGTGCCATTATCGGAAACAGCTTTCGAAAAGGATGATTTCTTACAATCAATCCATTAAATATTACCAGTTCAGCTTTTAGACAATGCATGGAGTACGGTTACGTCAGTGACAATCTGTAACTGCTTTAGTCATACTAAACTGACTGTAGTTTCTCTGAATGTTCAGAATGTTGATGAGGATGACGAAATGCCTTTGTCAAAGTGGATACAAAAATTTAATGTAAACCAGAGAGACTTTGGAACTGATCTTGGCTCCTACATTTCAGTAGACGATCAGGTAGAAACATTTAAAGTTTTAAGTGATCAAGAAATTGTGGACCAAGTGCAAAATGTGGAAATGGATGTTGATGAGGATAATGAAGAAGAAGATGAGCTCAGCTCAGATTATTAAGGACACTACAGAAAAACTTTATTTTTCGGAAAGGGTTGTGCAGAAGAAAATAACTGACTTTACAGCATTAGAGAACTTTTTCTTAAAAAATGTTATTTTCATATACATATGTTTTATTTCTTAAATTTTTTATCCTAAATGCAGCTGTAATACAATTTTGTCTCGTTAAAACTTCATTTTTTTCCTCCTCTTTTATAACGTCATTCTGGTATAGCGTCATCTTTTTTACTGAACCCTTCAATGGCGCTCTATTCAAGTTCCATTGTATGAAAAGATAATATCTTTTTAGGTAATTGTATTAAAATAGATTAGATAAAGAGATTATGGTCTGACGTTCGTGCTTCGTGGACAAAAACGACGATACAACCGCACAAATATTATTCTTATATGAGTATATAGTTACCTTTCAGCTAAAAATACTTATACCTACCGTATATTCATTGCCACGTTATTTCCTCCTCGTTTTATCGATTTGCATCCTTTTGGGAACTCGGTATTGTTAAATTTTGATGACGTCTAGACAATGCTTGTTTTTATATCCTTTAAAAATAGACTAAAAATACTGTTCGTAAAAATGTATTGGTCGGAAATTTGTGCACGAATTTGCAGATTGTCCAAAAATATGATTGTGGTTATTGGACAAGATTTAGCTGTTAAGGTTTTTTGTAGATGTTCTTTCTGATATAAGCAATTTTATGTCGTAAGCTTTTAGAAATACACTTTATTCTCACTGAAAATTGTACAATTTTATGGACAAAGCTTACAAAAAGTCAAAAAAAAAAAAATAATAATAACAATTAAAATTTACTAAAATTATATAAATCGTCAATATCACAAAATAAAAGATTATTAAATATGAGCATCTATAGATATTTGTCAATGGTGCCACTTCCTGTCCATCTCATTTCCTGCACCTTTTTCTCGCGCAGTCATCGTCGTTTGATCAGTCCGGTTTTCTTTCCTTGAACATTCGTAGCATGTGTGTTTTCTATGCCTAACCCCCTCTTTGGAGGACCATTTCTTCCTTCCTCGTCGTCGGCCCTGGTCCTACTTTCCACTGGGGTTGGTTACCCAACCTCCGATGGGG